GCTGATGGGAGGGCTGCCAACGGCGTCGGTAGTCGCCAGCGCATCACTGCGAAACACAAAGACGTCATCTCGTTGAAATAAACCTTGTACCCGTCAACAGAACTCAAAAGCGCGGGGGCCGCAAGCCCGTCCCGGGTCCTCCTTTAAGTCGCGGTATCCTTGTACACGAACGAGGGCTTAGCGGTCGGGCAAAGTTTCAAACAGAGGCAAAGCCGCGCTGGTGGAGCGGAACGGCTGCACAGTGCCCCTGCAAACGGCGCCCGAGTCCGTACGGCAGATCTGGACGTCAGGAATTTCAGGGGATCCAGGCAGAAATATTTAATCAACATCAGAAGCAGCCCACCTCTGCTTTTTGTGACGCACACGTGATTCAGACACAGGATCCATAAGCAAAGAAACAAACTAGCGTTCATTGATACAACTTTGCCGAAACCAGAGTCAAAACCATAACCCAGACTAACGCTCTTCGAATTAGCCGACCGCAAATTCGTCAAGTCCAGGCAATCATTTTACTGGTTTGGAGTGTGCTGTAAGGGAGCCCCCTCCTCCCTTGTACGTGAGTGAACAGGCCAGACCCCCCAGCTGCAGAGGTAGCAGAGCCACCACAGCCTCTCTCCTACCTCCAAACACAATTTTTACCTACAGAAAATCCTTACGCCTTAGAGCGGGCATCCCCGCTCCTCCTGTTTGCACGAAGGTGGCTTTTGTGAACCTGCTCCCACACTTTTTTTTTTTTTTTTTGTAAATAAAACATTAATCTCATGGCTTAATATACTTTCAGGTAGAAAGTAGTAGAAAAGATTGTTACAAAAAAGTCTTCATGTAGTGTATGTAAACAGCAACAAATAATGTAATCACCACATTTCCCTCTGCTGAGACAGCCATGCTTCATTTTCTCACTTGTTTACCATGAGTCCATCTGTTCGTTCATCTATAATTCTCTAACTGCCCAGTAGGTTATCAAACACATTCTCTTTCACTGTAATTAGGGATGTACCCTAAACGCCCTTAAAACCAGAAAGTGTAATAAAGAGTTCATTTAGTCATCTTCATGATTGAGGATTTCACCGAGTATCTGTTTTCACTGAAAACTGGATTTATCACATAAACTGCAAATTACTAATTCCCTCCCTGATCAACTGTTGCGGAACAGCTAAGGAATCTGTTATGAGGATTAACTTACAGAGATCACCACTTGGACCCGTGGCGACCTTCAACCCCTTCAATGCCCTTCAACCCCAAAGTACATTTGAAAAATGTCAGCACATCCTTTTTCTTCTAAAAACCGATATAGCTGCCCCAAATCCATATGATTTCCTCTGGCACCATGCGCATCAAAACATTTTTCTTCCAAAGTGGAGAACTTTCTTTGTTTCTGAATCTCAGCGTGTCCTCCACCTTCCAAAGAAACATCTTCTCTGTGCCGGATGAGAATTCTTTTCCATGTTAATCTTCTGACTCTGAAAGCAATCAGAGAAGTATGAATCTATAAAATAGAGGCTGTTTTAGAAAATACTATGAAACAGCTATTATCACGGAAGTCAATAAATTCCATTTGTATGTATATGTTGGCAGAGATAATGGTTTCCTAGCTGGTCATAGAAGTACTACTCAGGCATAAACACTCCCATAGGCAGGAGCTTGTTTCTTTACATCATCTCCACAGGATTCAAAAACCTTAATGTTATTCCTCGCAAAATAATTGGTGAAGATGTGGTTTCAATTTCAGTGCTCAATTCTGCCTTGCCTGTGCCAAGAACTCTCATATTCTCCTGCTCTCTTAGCTGTTGTAATCAAACAGCAATGCTCGTTTAGTCTGCATCACCCAGAAATATAAATGATGGGAGCAGAATAAAGCACAAATGTAAAGCGATGTAACAGCATACAGAGCTAACACAACTGGGGTACCGCAGTCCACTGCTATACAGCTGAAACAGAGATGAAGGTAGAACAGAAATAAATGTGCACCGTGTGGTACTGGTAGCTTTGATCGCTGTAACCAATAGTATGGTCACTATTCAGAGTTGTAAATACATTACAATACACACAAATACCTTGCAGACTTTTCTAGGTTGGAAGGCGGTTGGATTTCCCACCATCTGGCTACATGTATAACATGAGGCATGCAATATTCTAACCACCAATGGCTTTTAAATACAAAGCAAAACTAACCTTGACCAGAACTCTTCACAGCTACTTTGTAGACCTTCTACACAAACAACACCTGGTTTCCCTGGCATGCAAAACCCTGACAGGGCGAGCTCCTTGGCCCAGTCAATAATGTTCTTTCTTTTTTGCTTGTTGTAAATGTGATGACTGTAGATCCACAGTCGAGTGAACGTGATGTCTTCTGACTGTGTGGCATCTGATGTTGTCACTGAAGACGAAAGCTCTTTGTCAATGTAAGCAGCTGCATGGTCTTTAACCCATTCCCTTGCACTCAACATGCAGGGCTCACCGCTGCAGTTTTCTGTCAAATACGATTTGAGATCAGAGTTCAGGTGAATCTGCTGAGAGCGGCTTAATAATGATGACCTAAAGAAAAATATAAATGCAGTTGTAATACACTTACAATTTAGCATGTTTTTCAAACAGTTTTACTTCAAGCTGCCAAAGAAATCAGGCCATATGTAGATGGTATGCACTCACTATTGATACTTAAGCTATGTTAGCTATGAAAGGGTCTTAATTAGTATTTAACTGGTGTGCTAACACTTGAGTTCACATACAGTACTACCAATCTGTAAATAAAAATCAAGAAAAAGGTACTTGAAAGTCAGTATGGTGGGTGAACCAATTTCCTGTAATATGCAAGGCTACTTCTTTAAACAGAAACATTCCAACAAAAGATAACAGAAGATTGGGAGTAATGGCATCTTGACAAGGGAAGAATAAGACCACTGACTAGCTTTTCACTCCTTTAGAAAGCATTAACCCTTGACAAAATGGACAACAGCCTCTCCTCCTGAGCATCAGACCTATGAACAGTATCTACACGTAACCCCTCTGTACAGAAGATGGCACTCCTCCATGCTTTTCCCATTTTTCTCACTTACTTGCTGAGGACACCAGAGAAATCATAACCTTGGAGATTTGTTATCCATCTGGCTTAATTTGACAGTAAAGTATCAAAAAATTACTGCTTTTTCCTATTATACCTCTATTTATGTACTACACCATAGCTTTCACATGTTTTTATTAGCTGTACTTTTAATGCCATACCTCACAGTAATTTCTGGTAGAACAGTTGGATATGTAAATGGTAAGGCACAGGCCATAGAGAATTCCGCCTAAAAACAAAGAGGCACATGTTCAGTTCAAGTAAGCCCTAAAATCCCACAAAACAGAAATAAAAATTTAAAAAGGTGTTTACGATACCATAGAGGCATTAGAGACCTCTGCCTTTACATTCAGTATAAACTGAACTTTTGAAGATGGCATCTCTGCAGACTCATTTTCAACATAGTGCTTCAGTTCTGCTACAGCCAGCTGGTCAGTCACAATGAACTCTTCCTCATAAGGGAACATGCTGGAGAGTAAATCCAGTTCTGAAATTTGTACCTCAGCTTCTTCTCGGTAAGCCATTTCTATTGTTTCCTACACAAAGAGGAAATTAGTGAGGGAAAACAGGGTTTGAATATGGGACTAAGTTCATTAGCCACGTCCACGTAAACCGTATTAGCCCTTATAACCACGCCCATCAAAGCCAACTCATATGCCGGGCAGTCAGAAGCATGGAGACACCCTGTGACAGCCCATGAGGTTTCCCCCGATCTGAGAGGGGACAGGATGTGGCGGTGGTGTTGTCCGAAGAGCGGCCCGGTATGCAACAAGTCAATTGTCGCACACTCACGGAGGGACATGGCTTATTTATTTCATTTCTGCACAGGGATGGGTGCGAGGTGCTAATTCCACAAAGCTGGCACGCCTCAGCTAACACACAGCAGCATTTCATACAGCTCGGAACAACAGTTACCAGTTATTTCGCAATTACGCTTAATCATCGCCATCTCCAATGGGTGCTCGCGAGCCCCACATCCATTTAAAGGTGCGGTACCCCTTCGTTGTACTACACATGTTCTGTGCAGAAAGGGTCTTCTGGCAGGGGTCTTTTGACTCGGGGGAGGGGCGTGATTTTTACCATGTTCATGGGGACGCTTCGCTCGAAGCTGAAGCAGTTCTCACTTCGGCCTCGCCGAAGGTTTGGTTTCCTTGGTTTCCCGCCGACTCGCGGTGCCATCCCGCTCCCCCTCCCGGGGCCGCCCCTTCTGCGCCCCTCGCAGGGGCTGAACGATTCCCGTCTTTCTCCGCGGTGCTTCCAACGTTCCGACCTCCGGAACACCCGGGCCCGAGCCACCTCCTTAACGTACCTTCCGCTAAACAATCGGGCCGCGCTAAATTTCCGAGTTAACCTTCAACAACCCGTCACCACATCAGTCTCTCCCGCTCTCCCTCAGGGCCGCCTCCCCGGGGC